ATGTCGAATAATTTTGTTTCAGATATTATTGTTTCAGTGTACGTGCGTCGAGGCTATTTTGACTACTTTTTTGCCTGCATGTTAAGGTTTCATTCGTCACCACTCGCCCCTTTCCGTAACCTGCAAGAAGACTCGCTATTCGGCGTGTCCGGAATAACACGAGTTGGTCACGAATGGTTAAGGTTTGTGTGGCGTAAATCAACATCGACTCACTGACGCAGAGCGGTACGCATGTACATATATACACACACATACTAATGTATGTGCAATGCAGTGTGCGTTTACTGCGTTATACTGCGTGAATCATGATAGTTATCATATAATGGATTGTGCTATGAAAGCGTTAAACCAGTCCGATAAACCTATTATCATGATCAGATAAATACGCAAATGAGGTCAACAATCAGGAACTACTTTTAACCTCCATACACTGATTGGTCATTTAATCTCCATACACTGATTGGTCAAGACACAATTGGCCACGGTTCGCAGTACATTTAGATGGGGGTTATACGATGTCTGGGAAATTATGTAGACAAATATGGCTGTAAATCATTGTGGCAACGTGATGAAAGGGATGGTTTACTCAAACACTATAATCATATGCAATTTCTAAAGCTGCATTGATGAAATTACGTCTTAAACTTGGATTGGTTTAAGTATAGCTTCATATAAGGACAGTAATACCATCGTGTGTTTCTGTATCCCGAATATAAAACATAATCAATATAAAGTATGTTTGTTTGTTGTTTAACGCCGCACTCAGCAATATTCCAGCTATATGACGGCGGTCTGTAAATAATCGAGTCTGGACCAGACAATCTAGTGATTGACTTCATGAGCATCGATCCACGCAGTTGGGATTGATGACATGTCGAGCCTGACCACCCGATCCCGTTAGTCGCCTTTTACGACTAGCATAGTCGCCTTTTCTTGTCGTAAAAGGCAACTAACGGGAGCGGGTGATCGCCATAGGCGCGCATTACATATTTTTTTATTCCTAATAAATGATATGTGTGATACACACTCAGATAACAATTTTTATTTGTCTTTGCACGACACGTTCCTTCAAAATCAATGTCTGTCAGGCACGTCATTCTAAAGAAAGATGTTGGTTGGGTATAGCCTAGTGGTTAAAGTGTGTAGGTTCGTCACGCAAAGGACCAGATTCGATACACCACATGCACCACACAATGTATGAGGCCCATGTTCTCTGTCCCCAGTCGTGATGATGCTGGATTATTGTTTTAAAAAACCGTGTAAATCTATACACACTGACTCTGAAGAAACATGTCTCTAGATGAAAATGTTCGTTGCATCAAAAATGATAGATATCCTTTTAAAACCGTCCCATTTTATAGAAGGCTTTCCTGTTCATTAAGACAATAAAATTTCTACGACATAACCGATTCCTCGTCACATCCGAAGTCAGCTTGACGTCACAACAGCGGGAAGCATTGAAAAAGTTAAGGAAAATAGAGGTTCTTGTACACTTTTTTCTCCGTTGACTATGCGAGCACAACATATATGTTTACAAATCGTATTTATTTTTTTGTATTAAATGCCTCGACACGAATGACAATTAAACTTCACTCGTGTCGATAGGTTTGTTTCGTGTTAAGCAATACATAGCGTCTAACTGATTAGCTGCTTGCATGTTTACCACGTGGATATCAAAGTTGTGTGGCACTGCGGCAGTCAGGAATACGCACCCCTACATGGCTACGCTTCAATGTAACAAGCTGTGTTCGTATGCAGTGTACAGTCTACTCCTGACACATACATGCTGCGTCCCCGAGGGACGTCGTTTGTCACATGAAACCCTTGACCCTATACCTTTTAACTTGTCATGTAACAAACTTATTGCTGTCATTCAGAAGGTAGACCCCATTTCAAGAGAAATGCATATCTAGGTTAGCCAAAAAATTGTTAATTGTAAATTAATCCTAAAATATTTTCTTCGTCACTATATTCATTATGTTGACGATGCTATTTCGTGTACTCGGAGTTTCGATTAATGCACAATAACGACATATTCAACTTAAAAAAATATGTTGGTTGGTTGGTTGGTTGATTTACTCCGCACTCAGCAATATTCCAGCTGTATGACGGCGGTCTGTAAATAATCGAGTCTGGACCCGACAATCCAGTGATTGACATCATGAGCATCGATCCACGCAATCGGGATCGATGACATGTATCAACCAAGTCAGCGAGCCTGACCACCCGATCCCGTTAGTCGCCTCTTACGACAAGCATGGTCGCCTTTTACGGCCAGCATGGGTTGCTGGAGACCTGTTCTACCCCGAATCTTCACGGGTCTAAAAAAAAAAATAAAGGGCCTTCCGATTTTTTCATATAACAATAATTAGTCTTTCATGACACGACAGACTAACTATGGTAGGATGAAGGCATCAGGTAGTCCTACGCATTTTTTAATGTAACACATGGAGTTCTCTCTGTACACTAAAAACACCAGATAAAATACAGCTCACTAACATCAGAGACTCGTGGAAATATGCTTGACATCCTGCACGGAACAGATTCCTGGGTGACGTGGTGTCATGCATGTCTTTGTCTGTCACCAGAGACCGATTGCGTACGCCTTCCTGTCTTGTAATACATTTTGCTACTTCCTTATGACGTCAAATACATGACAGCATTTAATCGTTTGAATCTTAGATAAAAGTAAAATCTTATATAAAAGTGAAACCCTTTGAAACCTTATATTTACTGAATGATTATGGTCTTCACAAAGCCAAATAAATTAATGTCGATTGAATAAGCTATACCTATAACATAAGATTATTGGGATTACATAGAGCTGTTTAAGCTGATTACCTGATGGATGGTGGTTAGCTTGTACTCGAGCGGAATTAAGTTAATGCAGAATAGCAATAATAGAAACTTTAGTTCGTCTGTCACACAGACCCTGAAACAAATACATCCAAGACAGGCTATGCACGTCTAGAAGGCAATTCTAGAATACCGCAGTTTCTGAAAATGGGGAGGAGAGTCTATGAGCTCCTTTAAAAAAATGTATTGTATAAAGATATTTAACGTATTTTTCTGTAAAATATTTTCATTTCACCAGATGTTAGTCATCATGAGGATGATGAGACTGAAATAACAAGCATGTTTTATTCCGTGTTGTAGAATGCTGTTCCGTTTACGAGCCACACGCCCTCACAACAGGCACTGCCGGGTGCTTGGGAAACTACTGGTATATAGGAAGTTCCGTGTGGTATGCTCCAATAGTATAATGTGATAAATACCATTAGTCGTATAATACGTGGAGATCCCAACTCGCGATTGATGCAGTGTAAAGTGGGCGCATATCTTTGTGTTCCTTGTTTCTGTTTTATAGATGTACCTGTCAGTGTTTCACGGATTACCGCTGTTAGTATAATGATTATGATTATTATTAATGTGATAAGAAATACAATATCGGACGCCGGCGGTACTTCAGCAAAAAAGAACAAAGACTATGGTGATGATGTATACATAATATAAATAATGGCCATGGGAATACAGGGTGGTGGTGGTAGACATGACGACAGTGATGGTGGTAATAGTATTAATGAAAGAATTAATACATGATGGTTATGGCGATGGCGTGGTGGTAGTCGCAATAACGATGGTGGTGATCATAATATTAGAAATAATAACTGACTACTACTATTACTACTACTACTACTACTACTACTACTACTACTACTACTACTACTACTACTACTACTACTGGGGGCACGGGTGGCCCAGTCGTTTAAGGCGCCATGATTCGCTGTGCAGAGTTGCGGCCCTTGTGCACGCCAGAAACCTATGATTGTGGGTTCGAATCCCGGTTCACCCCAATTATGTTTCTAGGTTTGTCAGCACCATACCCGTGCTCGTGGGTTTCACCGAAGTGGTAAACGTCTGAGACCTGCATCACTTCGGGCTTTCCTCCCACATTAAGCTGACACGCCGTGATATAACTGGAATACTGTTAAAAGCGGCGTTAAACCCAACTCACTCACTCACTACTACTACTACAACCAATGCTTTCCTTAAAAGGCGACTATGCTTGTCGTAAAAGTCGACTAAACGGGATCGGGTGGTCAGGCTCGCTGACTTGGTAGATGCATGTCATCGTATCCCAATTGCGTGGATCGATGCTCATGATGTCGATAACTCGATTACAGACCGCCGTCATACAGCTGGGATATTGCTGAGTGCTACGTTAAACAACAAACATAAAACAAAAAACAAAAAAACAAAAAACAGATGGGGGTGAAAGTAAAAGATGCGGTTGTAACCCTATCCATGACGATTGAGTTTAAAAATCGTACCCAGGTGGTGTGCGACCACATGTCCAGACTTTATACACAGATGTCAGTGCGTTTATACAAAGACGTTTGCACTAACTTAATTACAATAAAAGTCATCTTCATTACAGTCCAAAACATTGCATGTCAATTCTCAACGTGAGTTTTATTAATACGTTTTACATTTCTAACCAATATTGGTGTTGGCCTATTTCGATATTAACACTGTGACAGTGTGACAACAGTTAAATGAAAATATATGCGTGCCGTGACATGCACCAGTTTCAAAATAAATGTTCAAATCGTGTGTTGAAGTCCAAAGTCCCCCAAATACATGTACTTTGACTTTCGACATTCCGGGTTAACATGCCGGTAATTTCGATGCAGTTGGCATCGAGTAATCTTTTTCAGTTCCCTGGCTTCGCGTGGTAGTCTTCATAAAAAGGATAGTTCAAGCATGATAACATGGCTGAAAAAATTGCATTAGATAATAGTAATAAAATGATATCTGAAAGTTTCTTACACTCGTGGAATTCCATAGTTTTTGGAACACCAGATGAATAATTTGTCCCTTTAAAAACTCATATGTTTACACGCTTATATCATGCCAGCTTTGATGCTAATGATAAAATTCACATGCGTAATTGTACATGTTCAGTCTGTGCACGGGCAAACTGGAAGTGACAGCTTATATCGGCCAGACTAGTGGAACTCTTCAATTGTGGAGACCCAAAAGAGAAATCCAAGATGGCGCGCTCCATGCACGAAAATGCCGAATGGAAATATAGGGGTGAAGGAAACTGCAGCCTTGTTGTCGCAGATCCAGAGGTAAACTAAAATTTGCTAATCGATTATATTCTTTTGGTTTTGAGCTTTGCCATGAAGATCTAACGGGCTGTCACTTGTGACTCTTCGTCGGTGCAACCGTGTATTGCACACTGGCATTTCGAAATCTGTCATCATGTTATGAATCATCATAAATACACCAAAGATTCAGGTCTGAAGATGCAAAAAGAACAAATGATTAACCTATTGTTTCCTTGTATTTGTTTGTTGAGAATCTGATTAAAGTGTCTTTTTGTTAAGATATTGAATGAGTTTGACGTGTAATCTGTTTCAAGAACCAATGTCCATTTAGACACTAAATCAGTGTTTTCTGAGGAGGAAAAAAACCGTTAATCATGTGTGATGAAAACTATGATTTGAGTTTCATGCTAAACGTCCTTGGTCAATGATTCTAAATCTGCCCTATTAAAAAAAAGATTCTGTTTGTAACAACTGTCTAATTGCAGTTAAGTGTCAGATGGGTTTACGTCGAATCAGACCCATGAAGATCCGGGGTAGAATAGGACTTCAGCAACCCATGCTTGTCGTAAGGGGCGACAAACGGAATCTGGTGGTCAGGCTCGCTGACTTGGTTGATGCATGTGATCGATCTCAATTACGTGGATCGATGCTCATGATGTCAATCACTGGATTGTCGGGTCCAGTCTTTATTATTTTACTGACCGCTGTCATAAAGCTGGAATATTGCTGGGTGCGGCGTTAAACAACAAACAAACAAACAAAACCTCAAATCAATGTTAATTTGTTTTGTAAACAGCATTAAAATTCTCTGAATTATCAGTTCTTCTCAGAAGTGTTACGACACTCTTTTACTATAAAGTTAACCTGAATCAATTACCTGCAGAATGGGATAATAAAATCATGGGATTTGGAAACTTTACATATATGGGAAATAAGAAACCTAGTTAATATTGCAATTGTTTTCTCTGTTAATGACAATGTGTATAGTCGATATTAATGACAATGTATGTTTGATTGAATATTCATATACATTTTCAGACCCACCAGGTGTACCGTTTGGTGAAAACCTATTTCACACAAGCCATGGAGACTCTGTACCCACTGGACTCCTCTGAGGTATTTACTCTTAGTCTTAATCATTAATACCCTAGATTCTCCACAACAGCATATGAATATAAGCTGATACATACAGTGAGGCATGTGTGGTTATTCTGTCTGGTGCCTAATCTGTATGCTGTGTGGAAGGGAATTAGCATGCATTTCAGGTCTGGTTCTCAGCTGCTGTTCTCTTGTTCTAGTCCAGTGATTTGATTGGCTGCAGTTTGCCATGCAGAGTAACAGCCTGATCCGGTGTTTCTGAAAAGTTGATCTGGGAATACGCTACTGTTGTTTTGATGAACTTTATACATGTTTAACATTTGTTGTGAGATAATGAGCAGTGATAAACTGAGATAAGTGGTGAAATGTTTCAGAAATTAACAGAGGCACATATCACAAATGCATTTACTTACAGGTCCTGACTGCATGAGAATGATTCATAATCTGTCATAGTTAATTGCAGTTTGCTGCTATTAAAGCACTAGCTACGAGAAGGTTAACTGACACAATGAGTGGTAAGGCAAGTAGTCCTTCTGGAACTGATTGGGCCTCGGTTCAGCAGTACCCTCAGGGATTTATCAAGTCTGCAGCATATGTCAGTAAATATTCGGGTGGCCCAGTCGTCTAAGGTGCCGCGATTCCCTTAAGCACGCCATAAACCTATGATTGTGGGTTCGAATTCCTGTTCGCCCCGATTATGTTTCTAGGCTGCACCATACCCGTGCTCGTGGGTTTCACCGAAGTGGTAAATCACTTCGGGCTTTCCTCCCACATTAAGCTGACACGCCGTGATATAACTGCAATAATGTTAAAAGCGGTGTTAAACCCAACTCACTCAGTAAATATTCCCAAATTCATTATTGTTTAATACTGCATCACAAAATCTTGCATGTATTCCTGGAGAGATCATCATCCGTGGTCCAGTGACAGAGTGATCCCTGGCCGCATCATACCAAAAGACCTTTGAAAGATAGTACTTGTTGTTACTGTGCCTGGCACTCGGCATGAAGGGGCTAAAAGGAGGATAGGTCGGCTCAGAGTCCATATACTTTGCCTGACTGGGGTTTTCTTGTTAAATTGTGGCATGGTATCTCAGTGGGCTAGTACTAAAAAATCAGCATTAGTCTGGAGTAGTACACTCAGCCCTACACACACGCACACGCGCACGCGCAATAAATTGTTTTTCAGCAACACATGCTTGTCGAAAGGGGCAACCAACGGGATTGAGTGGTGAGACTCACTGACTTGGTTGATGCATGTCATTGTATCCAAATTGCGTAGATTTTATGCTTATGATGTCAATCACTGGATTATTTGGTCCATTTTAGATTATTTACAAACTACCGTCATATAGATGCATTATTATTAAGTCTGGCTTGAAACGACAAACAATCACAAAAAACTTGGGTCAGTGGCAGGCTTAAACAGCCAAGAAACACGAATTGTTCTACCTATTCTAACCCGGAGTCCAAGCTAAGTTCTGGGTTGCATTCTCCCAATAGAGGTACATGTATCTGTTAAACAGAGTTATGATGACCAATTGGCCATGAGTTCATGATATAGCCTAGATGTTACTGACTACAGCATACCGTATTCTACATAATAAGCGCCCAGGGCACTCTCAAAATTAGAAATAGGGGGCTCTTATTAGAATATTATCGTGATGAAAAAAATAGAGTTGAAAGATCGTTAATTTCATGGTTTATGCTGACAGCCTGAAATGTTTATATACGACAGATATATTTTTCCCGAATTTAATTGCCCATTATTAAGGGTGCATATAACACACAAGTGCGTATTATACACGAATAAATTTAAGTCTTGTGTACATTGATCAATCGGAAGGGTTGCTAATTGGGATTGTTCATGTGCCAATATATCAGCAAATATTACCGTGGGCGCTTATTACGTTGAATACGGTATGTTCATTCATGCAATTAGTGCCTCATAGTATCTCAATCGGTTTGAAAGTCTGGGTTATATTGGCCACAAGCAACCTATGCTTGTTTTGCGAGGCAAGGCGTCATAATCAAACCTGAATCATTTGGCCTGGCTTGATTGTCATCATACCTTGATGGTATGGATTGTTGCTCATAATATCAATCCCAGGTTTTTCTGGTCCAGACTTGATTATTCACAGGCCACCTTCATAGTCATTTGGGACCGCCTCCGTGGTCTAGTGGTAGAGCGTCCGCCCTGAGAGCGGAAGGTCCGGGGTCCGATCCTCAGCCGCGTCATACCAAAAGACGTTAAAAGATGGTACTTGTTGTTACCCTGTCTGGCGCTCGGCATTAAGGGGATAAATCAAGGACTGCCCAGTTCGGAGTCAGTATACTGTGTCTGAGTGGGGTATTCATGTTAAACTGCGACATGGTATCTCAGTGTGCTAGCACTATAAATTGGCATCAGTCCGGACTAGTACAAGCAGCCACATACACTCACACACACGTGCATGCTTGTCGCTATATAAGTGCAATAATCTTGGACGCGACGTTAAACCCCATTTCACCTCACCTCACCTCATAGTGATTTGGCTTCCATATTGCTGAGTGGTGCTAAACAGAGACAACAATCACTGTACCTAAACACAATGACAGCTTTGCCTTGTGTTGTTCTGCTATTTGTGACCTCAGTCTAATTTTGCATTCAGACAAATAATTAATTCTGTTTAATGATCTCTGGCTGTCTTTTTAAATCATATTTTGGGGAAATTTCTTCCATTTTTATTTCCCCGGTTTTAATAACGGGTATATATCTATCAGCATGTCTCTCCGTCAGCCGTCCGTTTTCTATTTCCTGAGCAGAACTGCAAAACCGTGAACTATTTCTTTTGGGAACTTTCTATACAGATCAGTCTAGTTGGGAAAATGGTGCCTTTTGATGATTTGGGTTTTTTATTATTTTTGTCATATTTTGTGATGATGAAAACAAGTTGTTTTACGTTTCTGGAGCAGAAGTCGAAAACCATTAAATATTTCTGTTGAAACTTGGGATTTGGGATTTTTCTTCTTTCCCCCCCCCCCCCCCCTTTTTTTCATGACAAGTTGGACTTATACAGAAAATGAGGGTACCGGTAGTACTCGTTTCCGGGACAGAACCCCCAAACCGTTGAATATATCTGGATGAGACTTACTATACAGATCAGTCTAGTGGTGAACTGGTGCCTTTTGATGATTTTGGAAATTGAAAAATACTTTACAACATTATTTTTTTCTTCAATGAACTGAAGGTATCCAATAGCAATGAACCAAAACTAGGGTGTAAGTAGCCAAACTCCATTGCCACGTTGCAGGGGGGGGGGGGGGATATGTCATCTGATGGCTCTTGTTACATCCCATGGTTACCAATCCTGATTTAATTGAAAGATAGTAATGAATGAGTGTGTATATGGTTTTACGCCGCTTTTAGCAATATTCCAGCAATATCACTGCGGGGGACACCAGAAATGGGCTTCACACATTGTACCCATGTCGGGAATCGAACCTGGGTCTTTGGCGTGACGAGCGAACGCTTTAACCACTAGGCTACCCAACCGCCCCAGTAATGAATGAAACACAGCTATTTAATTTGTTGATGTGTTTGTGTTTCAGCCTTGCTGTGATCACATTGTGATCGAGATGAGGAAGATCGTTGACTACGTTACCAACGTAATGCAGCCACTGTTGTCGCCGAAGTTCGTCACACCGCCGGTGAGTGGCAGCAGCTAGATGGGAGACAAACCTCCACTGATTCTAGTTGACTTACACAAATTTCTATCAGAAAGGATGTTGCAGATGTTGTTTGACTGCATGTCTTAGAGAAATTATCTGTAATGATACAAGGGATGGGAAACAATGCTGTTTTGTTACCAGGGATGTGTTTTGCAATATATTCCGATACATACAGGTATCAGTCTTGTGTTACATGTACTTGTTGTTTCCCTGCCTGGCCCTCATCATTAAGGGGGATAAAAAAGGACTGGTCGGCACGAAATCTGCATACAGTCAAGTCCCGTTTATCCGACATGGTTGGTTGCATATGATTATGTCGGATAAACGAGTATGTCGGATAATAGAAATTAAGTAGTATCAACGTTCGTGATCGAAAATTGGACAACTACACGATAGGTAACGATACAAACATGTGATAAAAAAACAAAATATTGATATTGTTATGTTACATTGTTAGCAGAATATGTTTTCTAATCATAAAACCTCTAAAGCTTAACATAAAACAACTGTTACGGACTGTATGACTTATTCAAAATACTTTAAAAAGCATAGTCTGGATTGGAAGTCGCAAGTTTGAAACTGGTTCCGCAAAGCTAAGAAAGCTGCTTTCTGAGGGGCTAACGTTGACTGTTAGTCATTTCATTGGTCGGTCATAGTTTGCGAAGGGTTGTTCTGACATGACCTGCAATAGCGAGAACTTGTATCAGATTTAAATGAAATTGAGGTAATCTAGGCATGTGATTAATCCTGTTTTCTTTATTTAAACCATTATTTGTTTACTGTTAGGCAAGTTTAATATGCAGCTGCCAGCCGATTCGTCTCGCATCAAAACACAGGCTGTGAACTCGTGGGCAGATGACCACGGAGTAGGCTGATCACTGTGTCGGATTAACAAGACTGATTAATGAGTGATTTCGGTAATATGTTGCAAATTAGGTGTGTCAGAGTGGGAGTGCGAGACTGTTGGATTAACGGGTCTAAATAGCACTGATTTAATCGGTTCCCATCATTAGTGATGGATAAAACCGATTGTCGGATTAACAAAACTTGACTGTACTGTGTCTGAGTGGGGTATTCATGTTAAACTGCAGCATGGTATCTCAGTAAGCTAGCACTATAAAATCGGCATTAGTCCAGACTAGTACAAGCAGCCACACCCACACGTGCATGCACATCGCTATGTAAGTGTATTGGGTGTAACATTGATCTCTGTTTCACCTCACCTTGTGATCTGCCACTCTATATTGGGAGCTAGAGTGATTAACAGTGATTGACACTGATTGAACATGGAAATCCTATTTTCTACATAGATTGTCACATTTACATTTTATAGGCTAAAGTGGTGCCAAACCTCCGATTATCCCCTCTTGTTTGCACCGATGTTAAAGTTGACATTTTGTGGTCATGGTTACAGGGGAGATAACAATTCAAGAGAAAAATTACTTCTGTGTTTCCACTGTTTTGTCGATCAATTTGAAAGAGAAACATCATTTGTGAATGAATTTCTGTATGGATTTTAATTTTAATGATAAAAAGAGAAAAATTACTTCTGTGTTTCCACTGTTTTGTCGATCAATTTGAAAGAGAAACATCATTTGTGAATGAATTTCTGTATGGATTTTAATTTAAATGATACAAATAAGAACGAAACTTATGTTTTTTTTTACCAAATATACTGCAACAGAGGTTTTTTTTAAAAACCCATTGAAATACATATCATTGCACTAGAATGGTAATACTATGCAGTCCTGATCGTTACCCCAGTACTTTATTCATAGAATGACAGAGTCTCAGATTCATGTGAATACATATCTACTTCGTGATCCATTCATTACTTGCTGGGCCTGGTATCAGAAATATGGTGTCAGTAGGACTCATGCTATGCTGAAATGTAGGGTCAATGATAGAGACCCTGGAATTGTGAAGCAGTGTGAATGTGGGCCGAAGTTTAGTCCTCATAACAGCATCACTGAACAATGGAACAATCAGTAACTCCAATCCTTGTAGTGATAGATCTGAACTCTCTTGTGCTGTTTGGTCAATAACACCTGTCCGGTGATGTTGACCAGGCTGTCATTAGATGACAGGTACATATTGAATGTTATAGATGCTGTGTTAAGTTACTATACAAGGGACAGTGTTATCGATGCAGAGGCGACTATCGGTATCAGGGGGTCAGGCTCGATGACTTGCTTGATGCATGTCATCAATCCCAATTGTGTGGATCGATGCTCATGATGTCAATCACTGGATTGTCTGGTCCAGTCTTGATTATTTACAGGCCGCCATCATATACCTGGAATATTGCTGAGTGCGGCGTTAAACAAGATACAACCAAAAAACAAAATCACATTGTCAACTGTAATATTGCTGAGTGCAGCCTTAAACAACAAACAAACAAGCAAATGTTACTGATGCATTAAACCAAATTGAAAAACATGGCATCAATATACAATTATGCCGCTTTTAGCAATATTACAGTAATATCACGACAGGGGACTCAAAAAATGGCCTTCACACATTGTACCCTGGTATTCAGCTTGACTGGTGAATGCTTTGATCACTAGGCTACGCCAACGGGTGGCCCAGTCGTCTCAGGCGCTGTGCAGAGTTTCGTCCCTTGGGCACACCAGAAACCTATGATTGTGGGTTCGAATCCCGGTTCGCCCTGATTATGTTTCTAGGTTTGTCAGCACCATACCCGTGCTCGTGGGTTTCACCGAAGTGGAAAACGTCTGAGACCTGCATCACTTCGGGCTTTCCTCCCACATTAAGCTGACATGCCGTGATATAACTGGAATACTGTTAAAAGCGGTGTTAAACTCAACTCACTCACTCACTAAAAGAGGTGCAAAGTCCTACCCATCTATTCATCAACATTGTGCTGCCCCCTAGTGGCCTGTCTATGGGAATAGGCCCCCAGTGCTAAAATGACAGTGGATTTTATGACAATAAACAAATTGCAAAATGAATCCATGGCATTTGATTAGCAATATTATTTCTCCCGTGGTTTGAAAAATGGGTAAAAAGCTATCAGCACGCCGTCAGTTCCCCAGTTCGGAAGCAGAACTCCTAAACCGTTGAAAAGTCCTTGATGAAACTTGCTATACACATCAGTCTATTGATGAACTGGTGCCTTTTAATGATTGGGCATGTTTATATTTTTGTTTTGTTTTCGTGGCGACAAGTTTATGAGGGTAGTGCTCATTTCTGGACCAGAACACCAAAACCGTTGACTTTTTCTGGATGATACTTGATATTCAGATCAGTCTAGTGGTGAACTGGTGCCTATGGATGATTTAGGAATATTGGAAAATACTGAACAGCATTATCTTTATTCTTCATTAACTGAAGGCAATGGCAATGAACCAAAAGTGTGGTATAAGTAGCCAAACTCCATTTCTGAATTGCATCAGACCGTGGGGATATGTCATCTCCTGATGACTCGATCTTATTTCTGTTTATGTTTCCATAAACATTAAAAAGGAGTAGGCCACGCCCACTTTCAGACTACTGTTTTCTGATTGGCTGAAAATAGCATGAATTCACTGACTGATGTAAATGTATTGTCTTCAATTTTTTGTCTGTTTTTGATGAGACAAGCTGTCTGAAGTTATCATTATTGACTAATTTATTAATAAGAATTGATTTCAACATTCTTTTGCATTTGGGGAGGTACAGATGTTTGTACACTGTGCAAAATTTTTCCATAAACCAGAAAAAGGTGTAGGCCATGCCCACTTGCAGACTACTGTTTTCTGATTGGCTGATAATGGAATTAGCAGGGGATAAGTTGCATTATTTCGCTGACTGATGTCTCTAATTTTGTATTGTCTATACAATCTTTTGTTTGTTTATGATTAGATATGCTGTCTGTAAACATGGTGAAGTTGTTATTGTTGACTAATTTTTTCTAAGAATTGATTTCAGCATATTTTTTACGTTTATGGACGTATAAATGTGAAAAACGGTTTGCACTCTGCGCAATTCTGATTTACACAGAGTATAAACTATGTACACCTCCATAAATGAAAAACTTATTGAAGTCAATTCTTAATTGTATCCAAGCGGCAGGGATCTATGTCTGTGCTGTTGACTGGCTTCATCTGGTTCAGACTGTTTATTGCAATATTAGATGCAGTATGGCTAGCAGCAGGGTAACACATTGAGTGAAATACAAGTCACCTCCACCAAGCCATCACATTAGTTATGATTATATTAACGTGAAATTAGAATGTATTTTGGTCTATTTGGGACATGTGCTGCCGAACATCAAAGTGAATATTATGGTATTCTTAAATTCTTTAAATTTAAAGAGAACTCGAAACTTTGTTATCATGATCATGATAAATTCTTTAATGTACAGAAATGCATCTCACTATTTTCAAACTTACATTAAAGAGTAAGTGAGTACTGTTTTACGCCGCTTTTAGCAATGTTCCAGCAATATCATGGCGGGGGCACCAGAAATGGGCCTTACATTAAAGAAAGAATTGCATATTGACATATCCTAATTTGGTAACTTTAATAAGCTGAACCTAGCTTAACTTGCTTGCATGCTTAAAAGAGGATACACTTTATCGTAAGATGGGACTAACAGGTTCGGGTGGTCAGGCTCGCTGACTTGGTTGATGCATGTCATCGATCCCAATTGCATAGATCGATGCTCATGATATCGATGACAGGATTGTCTAGTCCAGTCTTGATTATTTACAGACCGCCATCATATAGCTGAAATATTACTGAGTTCGGCGTTAAACAACAAACGAACAACATCACATTGTCAATTGTAAGCATAATCAAGACGGAGTACTGAGCATTGTTTATTGGTGTCGGTCATATGCTTACAGTTTATGGAGCTAATATGAAGTTTTTATGTTTTTCAGGTTGTTGCGGAAATCTCAGAAGGCTTTGCTGAGGAGGCAGAGAAGAGAAATCAAAATATGAGACCTGGTAGGAAGAGGATTAAGATTAACTTAAAACTTAAAATGATAATGAACTTTATTTATTGTACAACATGAAGTTTCTTCTTCAGTCGTGTTTCAAGTTGATGATTTTGCTGACTCAACAAGGAAGAATTTTCACTTTTTTCCAGCTAGTCGAAGAAAGAAGTCGGTTGACCTTGTTGATGCCAGGTCAAGGTCAGCCCTGGTTATGCCAGACTTCTGTTTTGTGTCCAAAAGAGACAGCATTCCTGTAGAACTAGAGGAGACACAGCCTACTATAAGCATAGAGATCAAGGTACATGTTAACAAGAGTTATAGTCTACCATTTATAGTGTAGAAACTAAGGTTAAATAAGAGTCATAATTTACCGTTAGTATATACCGTATTCGACGTAATAAGCGCCCAGGGCGCTCTCAAAATAAGAAATAGGGGGCTCTTATTAGAATATTATCTTGGTGAAAAAATAGAGTTAAAAGATCGTAAATTTCGTGGTTTATGCTGACAGCATGATATGTTTATTTCATGGTATGAAACTCCCAAAAATTTCGGCCAGACCACAGGACTGGCTAGCTGAAATACCTGCCAGCCCTGACCAAAACCTGCCTGCCCACTATAAGCATATGTTTCTCAGGATAATTTAATTAAAACTTTAAATTGAATTCATTGAACATAAAGTAATGCAAGAAAAGAAATAGCAAACACTTTTTAGGTCAGATTTGTATTTAATATCCTAGAATACATCATGTAAATAATGCTTATCATCGGGAAATATTTAGAATATTTTCACATATGAAATATAACCCGACTGTCAGGCAGGGGGATTTGAAAATCTGGCAGCCCGAGTTGAAATTTAAGGGTGCATATTACACACAAGTGCGTATTATTCACGAATAAATAAGTCTTGTGCTAAGGTGTGCTAATTGGGATTGTTCACTAGCCATTATATTAGCAAATATCGATGTGGGGGGTTATTACATCGTAAACGGTAACAGTAAATGAAGAATGAGACTCGGTTTCATATGCAGTGGATAACTCATTTAGACTGTACCACAATGTTATCATGACATTATAAGATAGTAGATATGTTAATGTAGCTGAGTTATTTTCTTGTGTTAATTTGTGAAGAAGGAGAAAATTATTTTTTCGTTAATGTGCCCTTGAAAATTTCAGCCCAAGAAGGCTTTCATCCCTAGTCCTGTGGCTATTGACCGAACCTCCATCAAGCACCAAGTCTGCAAGTTCTGCATGCACCAGCGCTTGAAGGTAGGCAGGGGAACTATTGCTGCATCTCACCATACATCTCACCATACATCTCACCATACACCTCTATGTTTGTTTGTTTGTTGTTTAACGCCGGACTCAGCAATATTCCAGCTGTATGACGGCGGTCTGTAAATAATCAAGTATGGACAAGACAATCCAGTGATTGACATCATGAGCATCGGTCCACGCAATCGGGATATGATGACATGCATCAACCAAGTCAGCGAGCCTGTTAGTCGCCTCTTACGACAGCAAGCATGGGTTGCTGAAGACCTTTTCTACCCGGGATCATCATGGGTCCCACTACACCACTAACATTTCACCACACTGACATGTCATTTCATCCCTACACCTCACCATACATCTCACCGTGTTTCTCACCATACACCTCACTGCTCTCTCCTAGATCTCAAAGACCTGAGAAAAAGAAACCATTCTTGCCGTAAAAGGCGACTTTGCTTGTCATAAGTTGCGACTAACTACATCTCAAAATACATCACCACATACACACTTCACCATGTATCTCACCATGTAAAGAAATCTATGTATGTTGCATGGGTAGAGTTTTTTTAATTGGGCCCACCATTAGAAACCCAAGGAGCCCTTGAATAGATGCTCAAGAGACTCCTGAATTGGGGCCCCTGTATAGAGGCCCTTATCTTGAGGCCAAAACAGCCTTTGTGTAGAGGCTCTTTTTGTAGAGACCCAAGAGGCCTCTGACTAGAGGCCTTTATGTAGGGATTTAAGAGGCCCTAGAATTGAAGTGGAGCCTTGAGGGCCTCTGAGTAGATGCCTCAGAGTTGAGGTCCCTTAATAGAGGCTATGAGGCTCTTGAGTAGAGGTCCTGGAGTTGATGCCACTGGGTAGAGGCTCATGAGGCTCTTGAGGAGAGGTCCTTGAGTTGATGCCACTGGGTAGAGGCTCATGAGGCTCTTGAGTAGAGGTCCTGGAGTTGATGCCACTGGGAAGAGGCTCATGAGGCTCTTGAGTAGAGGTCCTGGAGTTGATGCCACTGGGTAGAGGCTCATGAGGCTCTTGAGGAGAGGTCCTTGAGTTGATGCCACTGGGTAGAGGCTCATGAGGCTCTTGAGTAAAGGTCCTTGAGTTGATGCCACTGGGTAGAGGCTCATGAGGCTCTTGAGTAAAGGTCCTGGAGTTGATGCCACTGGGTAGAGGCTCATGAGGCTCTTGAGTAAAGGTCCTTGAGTTGATGCCACTGGGTAGAGGCTCATGAGGCTCTTGAGTAAAGGTCCTGGAGTTGATGCCACTGGGTAGAGGCTCATGAGGCTCTTGAGTAGAGGTCCTTGACTAGAGGTTGCTGGCTAGAGGCCCAGGAGGCCCGTGAATGGATGCCTCAGATGTCCTTAAGTAGTGACTCATTAGTTGAGGTCAAAGAGACTTTTGAGTTGAGGCCGTGGAGGCCAATTGACAGCGAAAAAGGCCATTGAGCGAATGCCATTGAGGCCCTTTTGTGGTGGCCAAAAGGCCCCTGAGATGGGGCCCTTGAGCAGTGTTAAACGGACTGGTGTTTTGGGGTATGTTGGAGGGTTGAGATACATATTAAGGCAGAATAACAAGTCAAGAAATATGAGGGCTGGTCAAAAAGTTCTATGCCTGACTAACTTTCAACTAAGGGCCATAACAAAGTGAACTAGTCAATGAAGTACATTGTTTGAGCAGTTCATTGCAAGTGTATTTGGTCTGTTTAGGCCATTTGTATATTAGTACCGAACAAGTACCGAATAGTTCTCAAGGTTTTGACTTTTGAGAAAAGTACTCCCCAAGAAAGTCATGACCACGTGTTACAAGTATATGGGGATAAAGGACCTAGCTATTCCACTGTTAAACATTGGGCAGCTATGTTTAAGGCCGGGAGAACAAGTCTTGATGATCACCCTAGGTCTGGACGTCCCCCAACTTCTATCAATGAAGATTCAATCAAGGAGATAAAAAAACCTATACTGTCAGATAGACGTATTACCATTGCTGAACTTGAGGAAGACACATGGATCCATTGAACCTATTATTCATGAACATGGTCAGATGAATAACATATCTGCTCATTGGGTGCCAAAGTTTCTGAATTTTCATCTTAAGGAAAAAAGAACTTCCATTGGCAGAGAAAGTTTTGAGCTAATTGAGAAGGATTTCATCAAATTCAAAAACTTCCTCGCCCTCCATACTCGCCATACCTGGCACCAAGTGATTTCCACCTGTTTCCGAAACTGAAAGCGCACCTTCATGGAAAGCGCTTTGATGACAATGATGATCTCAAAGCTGCCGTAAATGGGTTTTCAGGGTGGCTTTGGAAAATTTCTTCCTGACCAATTGAAAAGTTTCACTATCGATATGAGAAGTGGATTGAAAAATCGGGGAATTTATGTTGAAAAATAAGATTCAAAACACTTTCACGATTGTTGTTTTTTGTTTGTTAGGCTTAGAACATTTTGACCAGCCCTCGTATTATGCCAGTACAATATGTCACTACCGGTACTCACAGTGATGGGGTGATGGTCCCCTAGCTCCACACAAACTGTGTTGTGGATGTCAGGCTTTGTGTTCCTTTGTGATAAAAACGGTAAATATAATTGGAAAGAACATGAAGAAAGTGGCATGATTTTTAGCATATTCCTGAAACTTAAATAACATTTTGGTACTGACCATCTCATCTAGCATGACACAATCTGGGATTACATAGAACTGTACTCAATATACCTCCTATGATTTGACCTGTGAAGACTTTATACAACAATCTCATTAGTGCTTTGAGGATATCCATCAAGGTCTTGTGACATTTGTCGCGATCAAGTTCTCCCAGTCGCGTGTACTCAATGGTCGTTATATATATGTCTTCGACCTTCACAGCACAGACCCTAATGACCACCCAATCATAATTACTCCAGATCGTGACTATTGGAAATCTATTCCGGTTGACATTATGCATGTTTAAATCTGTATTGCATATTCGGCCTGGCTATTTGTCTGTCACAGCCTTGACTGGCCAGGCCAATTATTGCCAACACTGTCAGTGGAAATAGCTGTTGTATCATGTGCAGGGTATTGGTCACCATGGTGATGATAATTGCGATGGTCAGCAGATTGCTTGCATCACATGTGATGGCTAGGGGGAATAATGGCGATGTGGGATTAGGGATGTGAAAGGGAAACCACACTCCAAGATTAAAAGTATTGAAATATGGATGTGCTTTTTCTTCGCGTATTCAAAATTTGCTTATTATGGACTATAATTTTAACTGGTTTGAGGTGTGTTCGGCGCTATTCTGAATTTCTTGCTGCGCTATGCACAGCAACCCCTGTCGGGTGTATCGAAGAATGAGAAGCCATATATCATTACAAAGGTACACGATAAAGAGCTACAGTCAAACTGACATGTGTTCTGTTGTTGATTAATGCATACATGACTTGAAAGGGTGAAGCTATCGGTCAACATTGTACAATAAAAAACTACATAGTATCCCTACAGAAAATTCAGGTAAATGAACAGGTGGTAACAAACTTGATTAATAAATATGTGAAATTCAGATACATTTTCACTAAACATGATGATTTACCCTTAAATGGTATTTTCTGTTCTGCTGTGCATTGTTTTGCATATACAGAAATATAGATTATCGTGTGTATTTTCTCGTAAACAAAGCCGGAAATTGCAATCAGCTGCCAATCTTATCCTGATTCATTTAAAATACACAATAAAACTAACTTCAAAGTATTTTATGCAATTGTAGGATGAATAGTAAAATGTTATCTTATCAGATATAAAATATTCCAACATGGAGTTATATTTGTTGCAGCATTTACTATATATATGTAAAGTAATAACAACCATAAGCACTCTGGAACAACTGATTGCTATTGCCGGATATAGTTTACATATAGAACAGTGTGATGAGTCACTGCTGAGGCAACCCCCAGCGTTCTTGTTTCAGCAAATGAATGGAAATAAAATGCAAATGTCGTAATTACAAGAAACAAAAGTTATATTTATAATATCAGGCAGTTACCTCGTTCGAAGAATGTATCTCATACACCTGAAGGTGTTTTCCATCTGCTTTAGTAAACCTACATATATAAACACTTACTTTTGACAAATCCATTGTGCGAAATAACAGCGATTAATCAATCAACTTATTAACGGTTAATCCTTTGATCGATGTTTTTTAGCAACTATACTGATTATTCCTCTCTTGCTGCCTTGCCACGTGCATATTACATAACATGTAGTACATTCACCTCATCAGAGGATTTATGACCCAAGCCTAGATTAAATAATTACCCCAGACACAATGCGAACCACTGAGTGCTTTATTACCTTGATACCCTCATAGGCAGCCGGGGGCACGGGTGGCCCAGTCGTCTAAGGCGCCATGATTCGCTGTGCAGAGTCGCGTCCCTTGGGCACACAAGAAACCTATGATTGTGGTTCGAATCCTGGTTCTCCCTGATTATGTTTCTAGGTTTGTCAGCACCATACCCGTGCTCGTGGGTTTCACCGAAGTGGTAAACGTCTGAGACCTGCATCACTTCGGGCTTTCCTCCCACATTAAGCTTACACGCCGCGATATAACTTGAATACTGTTAAAAGCGGCGTTAAACCCAACTCTCTCACTCACTAACTCATAGGCAGCGGTGGACGTTGTTGAGATATTCTGCAGTCTTTGTCAGGTAATCTGAGTAGTTCTACCACTAATTATACCTGTAACAAAGTCATTAACTGAGCATCAAGTCAATGACGACAAATACACAGGTGCATAGTTATACCATGGGACATGGCTGACAAGAGGGGAGCAGTCATTGTTGTATTACATGCAATTTGCCCCAAAATAAGGGTTGTGGGTGTTGAGTATATGAACTGAATTTCATTGTTACAAAAATAATACTAACACATATTTTCTGTATATCCTACTGGTGTTAAGTAGAACTTAAGAACTGCTAGTGTTTAGTAGAACTTTAGAACTACTAGTGTTTAGTAGAACTTTAGA